GGCTTGTTCGGTGCGCACACCTTCGGAGTGGAGCTCTCGGAGCTGGAGGCGCTGGAGATACTTGAGGTGGAGGTGCTGGAGTTACTGCTGGAGCTGGTGGTACTGGAGGTACTGCGGCTACTGGTCCTGGAGGTGCTCGCACCAGGGGTGCTGGAGCTGCCAGGACTGGTGGTGTTGGGGGCACTGGAGCTGGAGACCCTACGGAGCCTGGAGCTGCCGGAGCTGGAGGCTCTTGCGCTGGTGGAGCTGGCACTGGAGGCACTGGAGCTGGAGGAGCTGGAGTTGGAGGCAATGGCGCAGGAGGCGCTGGTAATGCAGGAGCTGGAGTTGTTGACCCTGGCGCTGGAGGTGCTGGAGGCACTGTGCGGCCGCGACCGTACTTCGTTCCCCTGCTTCAGCAGGTTCTTGGTGTCCCGTCTTCTACTGGCCTTACTCCTCCCTTACTGTGTCCACCGCCTGACCAGTCGCAGCCGCCATTACAGTCACCCTCCCCACTGCCTGCTCCCTCTCCTTACACTTAGCAGTCCGGCGGTCTTACAGAGCGTCGTGAGCCTGCGTCTCGTCCTGTCTCGCCTGTTCCCACTGCTCGTCGCGTTCCTCGTTTGCGTCCTCCTCCTGTCCCCGGCACGCATGCTATGGCACTCCGTCCTTCCTCTGTTCCACTGCGTATTCCTCTGCCTGCTCCTCCTGAGTCCTCTCTTCCTGAGGTCCCTAACCCTGAGTCTAACTGCACTCGTGCTGCCAGTCCTACAGTCTCTCGTCTCCTTGCCACTGCTGTCACAGACCCTTCTTTTGAGTCTGCTGCTGCGTCTGCTCTCGTTGCTGAGCTGCTTGACTTTGCTGCTGCCTGCCGTCTAGACTACGCCTCAGCTCTAGTTGCTGAGTCTGCGTCTCCCAGTCCTCCGTCCGCCGAGGGTGAGTGTGCTCTTGGCACAGACATCCTTGAGGACAGGCAAGAGGACTTTGAGTGTCTTGCAGCTGCTGTACCTTGTTTCGCTTCCATGCTGCTTGCCCCTGAGGGAGACCCGGATGCACCAGACATCCCGACCCCGCGCTCTTACACAGAGGCAATTACGGGTCCTTACTCCTCTCAATGGCAGGCAGCCATGGATGCCGAGATGGCATCCTGGAAGTCCACAGGCACCTACGTCGACGAGGTTCCCCCACCTGGGGCGAACATAGTCGATGGCATGTGGATCTTCAGGGTGAAGTGGCCGCCGGGTACTCCGCCTGCCTTCAAGGCGCGTTACGTTGCTCGAGGCTTCAGTCAGTGACAGGGAGTTGACTACTTCCAGACCTTCTCCCCCACCCCAAAGATGACTACTCTTCGGATGTTACTGCACGTCGCTGCTCAGCGTGACTACGAGTTGCACTCTCTGGACTTCAGCACAGCTTTCCTGCAGGGCAGTCTGCACGAGGAGATCTGGCTGCGCCGCCCACCTGGCTTCATTGGGTCGTTTCCTGCAGGTACCCAGTGGAGCCTCCGCCGGCCAGTCTACAGTCTCCGCCAGGCGCCTCGTGAGTGGCACGACACGCTGAGGACTACACTTGCGACTCTTGGGTTTGCTCCTTCTACTGCTGACCCGTCGCTGTTTCTCTGCACAGACACCTCGCTGCCGCCGTTCTACGTCCTCGAGTACGTAGGCGACCTCGTCTTTGCCATTTCTGACACAGAGGCACTGACCCTTGTGAACTTGGAGCTGCAGAAGAGACACACCTGCACTGACTTGGGTGAACTGCGCAGCTATCTTGGCTTGCAGATCACCCGGGTCAGAGCACGGCGCACCATCACACGGACTCAGTCACACATGGTGCACAAGGTCCGTCACCACTTCGGCTTCCAGTTCTCCTCGCCACAGTCCACTCCTCTGTCTACCGGCCACTCGCTCTCAGCTCCACCTTTGGACGAGTCTGTAGAGCCGAGTGGTCCGTACCCAGAGCTTGTGGGTTGCCTCATGTACCTGATGACTTGCACACGACCTGACCTCGCGTACCCTCTCAGCCTTCTGGCTCACTATGTGGCTCTCGGTAGGCACCGAAAGGTGCACTGGGATGCTGCGAAGAGGGCACTGCGTTACCTGTGCAGTACGTCAGACATGGGGCTCGTGCTTGGAGGACGGGGTCCAGTTGTCCTCACCGGTCAAGCAGACACTTCTTGGGTTGACGACTCAGCTACGCAGCGGTCGTCACAGGGTTACACTTTCAGCCTTGGCTCTGGCTCTGTTTCTTAGAGGTCTACCCGCTCTTCTTCTGTTCTCAGTTCCAGTTGTGAGGCTGAGATTTATGCCAAGGCCATGGCTGCACAGGAGCTACGCTGGCTCACCTACCTGCTGACTGACTTGGGAGAGCAGCCTCGTTCGCCTCCAGTTCTGTACGTCGACAACAAGGCCATGATTGCCTTATGTCAGGAGCACAGACTGGAGCACAGAACGAAGCACATTGCTCTGCGATGCTTCCTTGCTCGAGAGTTGCAGCAGCGTGGCCAGCTTCGTCTTGCTTACGTGGCCACTAGGGCCAACACTGCTGATATATTCACCAAGGCACTTCCGCCTGGTGATCATCAGCGCTTCTCTACTGTGTTAGGCCTTGTGCCTACTTTGCCTCACTTGCTTACTGCGTGATGTTGCTTGTACTGTGATCTATATATATACCTGCATGCTTGCACTTGCTAGGGTATGATCATTGTATTGCTTCTTCTCTTTTATATAACTCTGCATGTGAACTGGCCTTGTGGCCTTCTACTTGTGCTCGGACTGTGTGGTGACTTTGTGATCCACCCTGAGCTTGCTTTGCTTTTCTTCACTGGTCTTGTGACCACTTGTTCTCCCCCACTTTGCCTATGGGGGTGTGTCAAACTTATATATAGCTTACATTGTGTAGGCTGTAGTGGGGTAGCCCATAAGGGGTACAACCCAATTAGGGTTAGTACTTGTAACCAACTCTTTGCTAGTTCATTCATTCTCGTTCGTTTTTTCTGACATGAAGATCCACGTCCGCATGTTCGCGTCGCGTTGACTTGGGTCAAACGGCTCGGGTTTCTGCGGCTTGAGCGCGTTTCGATGTTCCGGCAGCGCTTCCGCGCCAGTCGACATGTTGGGTGCAGGAGATGGTGCGGCATGACCAAGAGGAATAGACGCGAATTCACGAAGCTGTTGCATTTCAGCTCGTACTGTCAGAATCCTAAGATAACTTAGGACTAGGGTTTGGGATAGGACCTAGGCTTAGTAGCCTAGGCCAAGGAAGAATGAGAGAGTTGAGCCAAGAATGTGGAGAGAGAATGATTTTCTAAAGGGCCAAAGGCTCAAGTTATACAAGCAACAATGCAAGAAGTGGTGCACCACAAACAAGGCTAGATAACGACACTACAAACCACAAACAATTATATATAAAATATGACGAACATATTTTGACACGCCCCCATAAGTATTTGCCGGTACAAGTGTAGTAACGCCCCCTTACGGGGTACACCATGCAGAGTGCAAGTGAGGAGGAGGCGGCTGATGCTGCGGCTGGACTCACACCACCCCCTCAACCTCCCCCCCCACAACAGCAGCAACGGCATTGAGGAGAGAGACGAGAAGGCGTGGCGGCAGTTGCTGCAGTTGAGTCACCCACCACCCACACCCCTTGAACCTGCCCACCACTTCACGCTCCCCCCTACAACATCAGGTGCGGCAATGAGAGAGAGGAGGCAGGCTGGCGCTGTAGGTGCAACCTCCCCCTCACACCCTCTCCCCCGCACCCCCAACTGCTGCACACGCAGCAAGGAGAGGGATGAGAAGGGGGGGGGGGGGGGGGGGGGGGGGGGGCGGGGTAGGGGCTGCGCATGCGGCTGCAGATGCGCGTGCAGAGGGGAGCAGCCGCGCACACCGCAGTCGCCACGCACCGCAGCAGGGCGCGCGGGGCGTGTCGCGATATATATTTATATATGTTTATAACTGCCTGTAGCTTTAGCTTTAGTGTAGTTATGTTTCTTTGTTGTGGTGGTGCACCTCTTTGTTTCTTTGCTATATGTTCTTGCAAACCTATAGTGAAGACACACATTCTCGATTCTCTCTTGGCACAACTCCCTCGACACCCGCTTGGCCTAGGCTACTAAGCCTAGGCCCTTAGTTAAACCCGTTCCTAGCTAAGTTCGTCTCATGACATGGTAACAGAGTGGTCCGTCCTAGGACCTATTTCGTTTATGGGCCCACCACATTTCGCGACTGCTACAGTTAGTGGCGCGAAATCCGCACCTTGCGTATCTTTTTTTTTCCCTGCTGCTTGCGCTGCCCCCCGTCTCCTGCCTCGTCGCGGCTCTCAGCGCGACGGGCGCGGCGGGCGCTATGGCGAACGCCAGCGGACCCGCCGCCAGCGACCCGCTAGCGAAGTCGCCAGCGAAGTCGCCAGCGGCCCGCGATCGCGTTTGCGCCATCGACTGCAGCCAGCGCCACCTTGCACCTCGCCCGTCGCACCGGCGGTCGCTGTGGGGGGGAGAGGGAAGAAGGGATGAGGAGAGGAGGTGGGGGGTGGCCGCAGCGTCCCCTCTTACTAACCCCCTTTTACGAAAGGGGGGGTTGAGTGGGGGATGAGGAGAAGAGGTGGGGGGGTGGCCGCAGCGTCCCCTCTTACTAACCCCCACATCCCCACCCCCAACCAACCACCCGCCCTCAACCTCACCCCCCATTTCAGTCGCCCCCTGGAACCGCACTCCCTCCACCCCTGTCTTCCTCCATACCTCTCCCAACCCACGATGGTCCCTGTACAGTCTTTCACAGGTGGGCTGCTGGGCACAGGTGGGGCTGCTGGTCACAGGTGGGGCTGCTGGTCACAGGTGGGGCTGCTGGTCACAGGTGGGGCTGCTGGTCACAGGTGGGGCTGCTGGTCACAGGTGGGGCTGCTGGTCACAGGTAGGGCTGCTGGTCACAGGTGGGGCTGCTGGTCACAGGTGGGGCTGCTGGTCACAGGTGGGGCTGCTGGTCATAGGTGGGGCTGCTGGTCATAGGTGGGGCTGCTGGTCACAGGTGGGGCTGCTGGTCACAGGTGGGGCTGCTGGTCACAGGTGGGGTTGCTGGTGCTGGTGCTGGCGGCTGGCGCTGGTGCTGGTTCCTGGTGCTGGCAGCTGGCACTGGGGCTGGTTCCTGATGCTGGCGGCTGGCGCTGGGGCTGGTTCCTGGTGCTGGCGGCTGGCGCTGGTGCTGGTTCCTGGTGCTGACGGCTGGCACTGGGGCTGGTTCCTGGTGCTGGCGGCCGGCGCTAGGGCTGGTTCCTGGTGCTGGCGACTGGCGCTGGGGCTGGTTCCTGGTGCTGGCGGCTGGCGCTGGGGCTGGTTCCTGGTGCTGGCGGCTGGCGCTGGGGCTGGTTCCTGGTGCTGGCGGCTGGCGCTGGGGCTGGTTCCTGGTGCTGGCGGCTGGCGCTGGGGCTGGTTCCTGGTGCTGGCGGCTGGCGCTGGTGCTGGTTCCTGGTGCTGGCGGCTGGCGCTGGTGCTGTTCCTGGCGCTGGCGCGGGGGGAATGCGACGGGCAGAGCGGGCGAATGAGCGGCTGGGGCGATCGCACCAGCGCCAGCCGCCAGCACCAGGAACCAGCACCAGCGCCAGCCGCCAGCACCAGGAACCAGCCCCAGCGCCAGCCGCCAGCACCAGGAACCAGCCCCAGCGCCAGCCGCCAGCACCAGGAACCAGCCCCAGCGCCAGCCGCCAGCACCAGGAACCAGCCCCAGCGCCAGCCGCCAGCACCAGGAACCAGCCCCAGCGCCAGCCGCCAGCACCAGGAACCAGCCCCAGCGCCAGCCGCCAGCACCAGGAACCAGCCCCAGCGCCAGTCGCCAGCACCAGGAACCAGCCCCAGCGCCGGCCGCCAGCACCAGGAACCAGCCCCAGTGCCAGCCGTCAGCACCAGGAACCAGCACCAGCGCCAGCCGCCAGCACCAGGAACCAGCCCCAGCGCCAGCCGCCAACATCAGGAACCAGCCCCAGTGCCAGCTGCCAGCACCAGGAACCAGCACCAGCGCCAGCCGCCAGCACCAGCACCAGCAACCCCACCTGTGACCAGCAGCCCCACCTGTGACCAGCAGCCCCACCTGTGACCAGCAGCCCCACCTGTGACCAGCAGCCCCACCTGTGACCAGCAGCCCCACCTGTGACCAGCAGCCCCACCTGTGACCAGCAGCCCCACCTGTGACCAGCAGCCCTACCTGTGACCAGCAGCCCCACCTGTGACCAGCAGCCCCACCTGTGACCAGCAGCCCCACCTGTGACCAGCAGCCCCACCTGTGACCAGCAGCCCCACCTGTGACCAGCAGCCCCACCTGTGCCCAGCAGCCCACCTGTGAAAGACTGTACAGGGACCATCGTGGGTTGGGAGAGGTATGGAGGAAGACAGGGGTGGAGGGAGTGCGGTTCCAGGGGGCGACTGAAATGGGGGGTGAGGTTGAGGGCGGGTGGTTGGTTGGGGGTGGGGATGTGGGGGTTAGTAAGAGGGGACGCTGCGGCCACCCCCCCACCTCTTCTCCTCATCCCCCACTCAACCCCCCCTTTCGTAAAAGGGGGTTAGTAAGAGGGGACGCTGCGGCCACCCCCCACCTCCTCTCCTCATCCCCCACTCACCTCCTCCTGTGTTCTTATCTATTCTCCTCTCCTCTCTTCCTCTTGCCTCCTCCTCCTCACGCACCCCTCTGCCGTCTCCCACCGCACCTGCCCCTTCAGGGGGTGTGACTTGCTCTAGCTATGTGCTGCAGGCAGTTAAGGGGGTGTGTCGCGATATATATTTATATATGTTTATAACTGCCTGTAGCTTTAGCTTTAGTGTAGTTATGTTTCTTTGTTGTGGTGGTGCACCTCTTTGTTTCTTTTCTATATGTTCTTGCAAACCTATAGTGAAGACACACATTCTCGATTCTCTCTTGGCACAACTCCCTCGACACCTGCTTGGCCTAGGCTACTAAGCCTAGGCCCTTAGTTAAACCCGTTCCTAGCTAAGTTCGTCTCATGACAGGGCGCGCTGTGCAGCAGGATGCGCGGGGCGCGCAGGGCAGCACGGCACGCAGGGCAGCAGGGCGCGCGGGGCGCGCGGGGCAGCAGGGCGCGCTGGACGCGCAGGGCAGCAGGGCACGCGGGGCACGCAGGCAGTAGAGCGCGCGGGGCGCACAGGGCAACAGGGCGCATGCGGGGGCAGCAGGCGACGCAGGCTGCAGGGCGCGCGGGCAGCAGGGCGCATGCGGGCAGCAAGCGACGCGGGCCGCAGGGTGACGGGCGGCGCGGCAGGGTGTGCCATAGCGGAAGCTAACGGTGGGCCCATTATGATTGGTCCGAGGAGGAACCGCTCTGATAGCATGTTAAAAACCATGGGGACTTAGGTTAGGGATGCCTATGCTTAGAAGCCTAGGCAAGGAAGGAGGGTATCAAGGAAGTTGAGCAAGAGAGAAGGGGGTTTCACTAAGAAACGAGGGTACAAGATATAGGAAACATGAACAAGCGAGAATGTGGTGTACCACAAACAAGGCTAGATAACTACACTACAAACCACAAACAATTATATAAAATATGACTAACATATTTTGACACGTACCTGACGATTTTCCAGCGTCAACGTTTCGAGTTGGCGCATGAGTTGAGCAAGCGTGTTGCCCATGTCGTTGGGGAGAGCGGTCATGGTTTCATCCATGTCGGCTCGACGACTCCAAATCTGCAAGTCGGCAACACGGGACGGTGACGTCGTAGTCTCGTCGTCGACGGTCGCTCGTTGGAAGTCGCTCCCCGCGAAGGCTCTTGATACCAAGTGTTAGGCCCCTTGGCCTAAATCCGCTAAAGAATAGCGGGGTCGACTAAGTCGAGGATGAAAACGCGGCGGAAGACTTTGGCGAAAGAACTATTGGCGAAAGAGGTGAAGAAGTTACTGAGTAATTGAAGATTTGAATGAGAATTGGTTGATATTGGTGGATACAAGCAAGGATGATATAGCATGCAAGGTCGAATGTCGGAAAGTACTATGTGGGACTAGAATTGTAAGGCAAGAAAAGTAGAGTGCCACGTGGCACTAGGAAATATAAGAAGATACGAAGATGATAAGGTTGGGAAGTACTGTTCAAGATGAACAGTAAAACCCCCTGTAACAAATGAGTCTACTTTACACCGGTATAAGAAACATAGGCACGAACACAACCAGGTAGAGCACCAAGAAACTGTACACCACCATGTCCTTTTATCCCTTTGTGATTGTCTAGTAATGATCCCAAAATTGGAATAAGCTACTATTTACAATCGTCACAAATGCCTGGGAAAAAAACACAAAACTCTTCTATGGTAGCAATATGATGTCACCTGCAATGAACACCACACCAAGAAATCCATCCTCAAAGGAGCAAGAGGTATGAAAAGGCACAGGAAGAGGGGAATAGGCGGGGCAAGTGATCCCATGATACTTCACCTGTATGAATCAGGTTTGCATCTTGGATGTTGTTTATCTGCATAATTGCATCCAGTGTTGTTCCATGCATACGCGCTTTGGCATAAAGAGTGTAACCCTGCACGCGCACAGTTTCATGTTCACAGCCATATGGTTACTGTGCAATGTAAGAAAGTCTCTGACATCATAGCTGAACTATGGCTTCAAACAACACAAACAACGTTTTGTAGAATATAGCGTGAAAAGCACATACCACTTGCATTACTCATGCGTGTGCAGCGCAAACTTTCTAAAGGGTGTATGTGCGGGAACACACATTTGCAATGGTGTACGTGTGCGGAACCCAGAGGCTCTGGCCGGGGTGTAAGATGTCTGAGAGGAGTGAGTTGGCCTGCCAGCACTCCATGGGAAGCACATCGGGGAGTACACTCATGGGAGCACACACATGGGAGCACACTCATGGAAGCACACTCATGAAAGTACACTCATGGAAGCACACTCACGGGAGTAATAATTCTGACAAAAACAACAAACAGGGGACATGGTGAAAGAGGCAGAGAGCACAGATTTTGCTTTGCAAACACCCCGTCTTCTCTACCAGACCAGCGCGTCGTCACCTGCATGAGGATCTCCACGGTGCTTCCCAGCTGGCCAGCAATCTTTGTCAGGTTGTCGCCAGGCTGCACGTTGTAGTAGGACCTCCCCTCCTTGTGGCGCAGAGGCAGGGCTGCGGCGGAGCAAGAAGGGGAGGGAAAGTGCAGTGAAGAGAGGTGGGAGAACTGGTTCTTGTTAACGGGAATGGAGTGTTGGCCTCGCCCTCGCTGGGCAACGCGACGACTTGGTCGGATGTACGGGAGTAGTAGCCGACCGTTCACAGGGGGTAGCTCGACGGGACCACGTTGGTGTTGCTGTCGACCAGGGAGCTCGACATCTGCAACTGATTGGTCTGGGCAACGAGTGGGCCGTCGACCAGGAGGGGCAGTTCGACTGGGAGGTCAACGGAGCAGTCAGTTGACCTGACAAGTGAGCGGCGGTCGACGAGGGGAGCTCGGCGACAACAGCTGACAGTTTTAGTCGACGGAAAGGGGTCCGTCGACCAGGGGGTAGCTCGACGGGAGCTGTGGTCGACCAGGGGCACCTGGTGGTCGACCAGAGGGACCCCGTGGTCGACCAAGAGGCACTTGGTGGTCGACCAGAGCACCTGGGGTTGCTGAAGGGCCACATGTCGTCCCGCCGCGGCTGCTCCCCACCCCTCAACGATCTATCGTCCGCCCACAAGATTGCTTCGGCAAACAGTTGCGCCCACAGAAGGTAAAGTATAATTACTTTCCCCTTATGTTCTATCTAGATACTGGTTGTAAGGACGACGAACGAATTGGAAACGACTCCGACTGTGCAGGTGAAAAGGCAAGCGTAGCAAAATGGTGCGGCGAACGATAGGTGCACTCTACGCGTGGATAGATGGCCACGGCTAGCCCCGCCTCACAGTGTCTTCCAAATGCCTGCTCTAGTGGACTCCACGCGACCTGTGATGGATGAGCCAGTCCGCGGCTGATTTGAAAACAGCTGATTGAAAACATATCGTGCAGTTTGAGAAGAGCTCATATATCATCATTGGCTCTCGGAGCACGACTTGCCTGAACGAGTCTTGGGTTGGGAGGCGTTCACGCCTTAATTGGAGGGAGGAGAAAACCACGGCCTACCGCTCTGTATTGTTTGACATTTGTATGTCATAAATTCAGGTGATGCTGATTATTGCTAGAACAGCTAGTGAACAACTATGCAAAATCCAGAAAATATAAATGTTTACAGAGCAATTTGTCACGCATCCTATGTTAGATTCAAGCAGTTTCACCAACATGATTGCTAAGCCTAATCCACGATTCCTCTAGCTTTCAAAAACTTCCGTTTGTTATGGCAAGTCTTTATAAAACCATCTCCTGGTTCGCCCCCCACTTCCCTGCTAAGCCCTGCAGGCATATAGCACATACAACACACATTCCTCGCCATGCCACCCCTCAAACCGCTGCAGGCTTCTGCATCCAGGTAACAGTTGAGCCAATAATTTCCTCCCATTGTCCTGATCCGCATCTCCATTTCCAGCATCCGAATGACTGCCTTCCTCCGCCAATGTCAAACAACCTCCTGTTTCCATGCTTACGTCACCTCGGTCTCTCGATGTGCCCTTCCCTCCATGGCTCGTTCCCAAGATTTCCCCCCCACCGCCTCCTCCCAACCCACTCTCGAAAAACCCCACAACCTTGCTCCCAATACTAGAGAAAAACATCCCCTCCAAGTCACACGACCAGACCTCAGCCGAGCGAAACACCGACAGGGACACAGGGGCCCAGCCGACAGCATGAAGGCAACGCAGGCCGTGCCAAGCACTCAGGTCCAGTGACTGGGAATCCATAGGATTCCTCCACTCGAGGACCTTGACGGTCTTTATCACACCTGGTGGGAGGCATGTCGCCTGCTCCGAATCCATGTCGGTGCAGAGGGAGTGAAGCGACGTGAGGTGAGGCACGTGCAATGCCCAGGGACAGATCGGGTCGGTCTGAAGGAAGAGAGATGTCACGTGCGCGGGGCAGGTGGGGAGCAGGAGCAGGCGGGAATCGCGGGACCGCCATTGAAAACAGAGGGAGAAGAGACGAGGGGCGGAGAGCGAGATCGAGCAGTTGAGCCCGTTGAGTCTGACGACAGTGGCTACCGATAGGTCAAGTGAGAAGGACGATCGTACGTCCGCGTCCCTCTCACGCGCGTTCTTGCTGCTTATAGCGCCCTCTTTGCCCTCCAGTGCCGCGAACTGATCCTCAGCAGCAAGATCAAGAGAGTGCAGCTGGGCGGAGATGAAGCAGAGGATGAGAGGCAAGCACGCGGACAAGTAGAGACTCAGACGGCGCAGCACGGGAAATGGCCTGTCCTTGTAATTTTTATTCGCTTCTTCCATGATTGAAATTATTTCCAACATTTCCGCCACCATCACAGGATCGTTGCAGTGCTTCCGTGGCATGTCCCGATCGCTGTCCGACCCAATGCCATGCTCAATAAGGAGCGACTCGAGGCACGGGGCTTGCGAGAGGGAGTAGAGAAGGCACGGATGGGAGGGGATGCTTCGGGAGAGGTAGAGATCGAAGGAGGTGATGGAGGAGAGGGAGGGGAAGAGGCAGGAGCGCATAAGGGAGGAAACGAGGCGGGGAGGCGATTCAGTGAGAGTGAAGTTGAACTGCAAAGGGCTTTGGTGCTGCTTGGTCAGCCATGCAAATCTGCGGATTCGCTGAGCGAGGGAGATGGCGGAGGGGGGACACTAACAATCTTCGTAGAAATAAAGAGCCTCGTCGCTCGCCGATAGTGCGTGTCGCACGCACGGCAAGGCGATGGCGCACGGCACGAGCGGCCACGAGCATTCGCACTCTCTCTCTCCGCCACCACATTTGCGATGCGCACCCACACGTCGGCGGGTAAGGCGCTCAGGTCCGCGGAACGAGTCTCCGCCGCGGGCGGAGGGGTGATGAATGACGGCTCTTCCTCTACTTGTTCCTCCTCATCCCCTTGTTCAGCCTCCACCGTCACCCCTTCTACTTCTTCCTCCTTCTCACACAAATTAGTCTTCCTCATCCTGCTCTGTGCATTTCTCCAGCGAGCGGTATCCTCGCCACCAGCTGCGTCACACCAGCGAAGTATATCGCCAATACAGTAGTTACTACCGTTCAAGGGGTAAAATATCCCAACCTTATCTTCCTATGCTGGATAGGATAGGACCCTCGTCATATACACGTGCTGTGGACTTGAAGCGGAAGGAGGGACGTCTGCCCGACTCGTCCGACTCGTCAAAGTTCAGATGTTGATTATTGTGCGAGCCGCTAGAATAAAAACAATGCAGTCCATATCCCATAAAACATTAAAAAACACATCTTTACCAACAATTTGCCATACATTCCCATTGCAGATTAAAACAGTTCCACCAAGCATGGTTGCTAAGCTTAAACCAACATTCCTCTAGCTCTTAAAAACTTCCGTTTGAGACGACAAGTCTTCGTAAAACTGTCTCCGGGTTCGCCCCCCACTTTCTTAATCAGCCCTTTACCAACATCCATCACGTACAGCACACACCCCCCATCGTCCCACCCCTCAAACCGCTGCAGGCTCTTGCATCCAAGTAGCAGTTGAGCCAATAATCTCTTCCTAATCTTCCGATCCGTATCCCCATTTCCAGCATCCAAATGCCTGCCTTTCCCCGCCAATGTCAAACAACCTCCTGCTTCCAAGCCTATCTCACCTCGGCCTCTCGGCGTGCCCTTTCCTCCATGGCTCCTTGTGTTAAAAGTAATGAACGAGAATGAATGAACTAGCAAAGAGTTGGGTACAAGTACTAACCCTAATTGGGTTGTACCCCTTATGGGCTACCCCACTATAGCCTACACAAATGTAAAAGCTATAATGTTCCGACACACCCCCATAGGCAAAGTGGGGGAGAACAAGTGGTCACAAGACCAGTCAAGAAAAGCAAAGCAAGCTCAGGGTGGATCACAAAGTCACCACACAGTCCGAGCACAAGCAAAGGGCCACAAGGCCAGTTCACATGCAGAGCTATATATAAGAGAACAAACCAATACAGTGATCATACCCTAGCAAGTGCAAGCATGCAGGTATATATAAAGATCATAGTACAAGCATAGTCAAGCAGTAAGCAAGTGAGGCAAAGTAGGCACAAGGCCTAACACAGTAGAGAAGCGCTAATGATCATCAGGCGGAAGTGCCTTGGTGAATATATCAGCAGTGTTGGCCCTAGTGGCCATGTACGCAAGACGAAGCTGGCCACGCCGCTGCAACTCTCGAGCAAGGAAGTATCGCAGAGCGATGTGCTTCGTTCTGCGCTCCAGTCTGTGCTCCCGACACAAGGCAATCATGGCCTTGTTGTCTACGTACAAAACTGGAGGCGAACGAGGCTGCTCTCCCAAGTCAGTCAGCAGGTAGGTGAGCCAGCGTAGCTCCTGTGCAGTCATGGCCCCTGCGTAGATCTCAGCCTCACAACTAGAGCTGAGAACCAAAGAAGAGTGGGTAGACCGCCAGGAAACAAACTGGAACCAAGGCTGAAGGTGTAACCATGTGACGACCACTGCGTAGCTGAGTCGTCAACCCAAGAAGCGTCTGTGTGACCAGTGAGGACAACTGGACCCCGTCCTCCAAGCACGAGCCCCATGCCCGACGTACTGCACAAGTAACAAAGTACCCTCTTCGCAACATCCTAGTGCACCTTTCGGTGCCTGCCGGGAGCCACGTAGCGAGCCAGGAGGCTGAGAGGGTACGCGAGGTCAGGTCGAGTGCACGTCATCAGGTACATGAGGAAACCCACAAGCTCTGGGTACAAACCACTCGACTCTACGGACTTGTCCGAAGGTGGAGCTGAGAGCGAGTGGCCGGTAGACAGAGGAGTGGGCTGTGGCGAGGAGAACTGGAAGCCGAAGCGCTGAAGGACCTAGTGCACCATGTGTGACTGAGTCAGGGTAATGGTGCGCCGAGCTCTGTCCCGGGTGATCTGCAAGCCAAGATAGCTGCGCAGTTCACCCAGGTCAGTGCAGGTGTGTCTCTTCTGCAGCTCCAACTTCACAAGGGTCAGTGCCTCAGTGTCAGCAGTGGCAAAGACGAGGTCGTTGACATAGACGAGGACGTAGAACGGCTGCAGCGAGGTGTCGGTGCGTAGAAACAGCGACGGGTCAGCAGTAGCAGGAGCAAACCCAAGAGCCGCAAGTGTAGTCCTCAGTGTGTCGTGCCACTCACGAGGCGCCTAGCGGAGACCGTAGACTGGCTGCCGAAGACTCCACAGAGTACCTGCAGGAAAAGACTCAGTGAAGCCAGGTGGGCGGCGCAGCCAGATCTCCTCGTGCAGGCTGCCCTGCAGGAAAGCTGTGCTGAAGTCCAGAGAGTACAACTCGTAGTTACGCTAAGCAGCAACGTGCAGCAACACCCGAAGAGTAGTCATCTTCGAGGTGGGGGAGAAGGTCTGGAAGTAGTCGACCCCCTGTCACTGACTGAAGCCTTGAGCAACGTAACGCGCCTTGAAGATAGGCGGAGAACCCGGCGGCCGCTTCACCCTGAAAATCCACATGCCATCGACTATGTTCGCCCCAGGTGGGGGAACCTCGTCGACGTAGGTGCTTGTGGACTTCCAGGAAGCCATCTCGGCGTCCATGGCTGCCTGCCACTGAGAGGAGTAGGGACCCTCTATCGCCTCTGCGTAAGAGCGCGGGGTCGGGATGTCTGGTGCATCCGGGTCTCCCTCAGGGGCAAGCAACATGGAAGCGAAGCAAGGTACAGCAGCTGCAAGACACGCAAAGTCCTCCTGCCGGTCCTCAAGGACGTCCGTGCCAAGAGCACACTCACCCCTGACGGACGGAGAACTGGCAGACGCAGACTCAACAACAAGAGCAGTGGCGTAGTCTAGACGGCAGGCAGCAGCAAAGTCAAGCAGCTCAGCAACGAGAGCAGACGCAGTAGCAGACGCAAAAGAAGGGTCAGTGACAGTAGTGGCTAGGAGACGAGAGACAGTGGGACTGGCAGCACGAGCGCGGTCAGACTCAGGGTCAGGGACCTCAGGAAGAGATGACGCAGGGAGAGTAGGCAGAGGAACATGCAGTGGAACAGAGGAAGGACGAAGGGTCATAGCGTGAGTGTCGGGGACAGGAGGAGGACGCAAACGAGGAACGCCACGAGAAGTGCGAATAGGCGAGACAGGACGAGACGCAGGCTCACGACACTCCGCAAGACCGCCGAACTGCTCAGTGTAAGGAGAAGGAGCAGGCAGTGGAGAGGCCGGCTGCAACGGCGGCTGGGACTGGTCAGGCGGTGGACATAGGAGGGGAGGAGTAAGGCCAGTAGAAGACGGGGTACCAAGAACCTGCTGAAGCAGGGGAATGAAGTACGATCGCGACCGCACAGTGCCACCAGGGGCAACACCACCAGCTCCTCCAGCTCCAGCACCTCCCGCACTAGTGTCTCCAACTCCAGCGCCTCCTGCGCCAGTGCCTCCAACTCCAGCTCCTCCAGCTCCAGCGCCACCAGTTCCAGAGCCGCCAGTACCAGTAGCTCCAGACGCCGTAGGGTCTCCAGCTCCAGCACTCTTAACACCACCACTCCCGGCAGCTTCAGCACCCCTGGTACGAGCACCTCCAGGACCAGTAGCCGCAGTACCTCCAGTAACACCAGCTCCAGCATCAACTCTAGCACCTCCAGCTCTAGCAGCTCCAGCACCTCCAGCTCCGGTAGCTCCATTCTGAAGGCGTGCGCGCCGAACAAACCACTCACGCAGCTGCTGCGGAGACAGTCTCAGCGAAGCACCAGCAGAACCTCCAGACGAAGCACCACCCTGAGGCTCAGCACCTCTAGACTCCGCACCCTCCGACGCAGCACCCCCAGGCTCAACACCCTCAGGCTCAGCACCCCCACGCTCAGCACCTCCTGTCTTAACACCCCCAGGCTCAGCACCCCCAGTCTCAGCACCCTCAGACTCCACACCCCCAAGCTCCGCACCCCTAGACGCAGCACCCCCACACGCAGCACCTGGAGCAGCACCTGAGCCGACAGCTACCTAAACAGGCGCAGGACCAGGGAGAGGGTCTACGTGAGACACACCTGAGGGAGCAGGATCCTGGGGCGGGAGGGGGTCTACCAGAGGGGGACCGGGAGCAAGGAAGAGCGGCGGGGGCGGGGGAGGGGCAGAGAGGTAGGGGAAGAGACGGTAAAAGGGAACCGACCTGTCAAACGTGACGTCCTGAGAACGGAAGACACGGCGCGAGGTGGGGTGGTAAAACTGCCAGCCAGGCGCGTCAGGGACAAAGCCAAGGAAGACGCAGGGGATAGCACGGGCAGAGAGCTTGTCCGCGGACGTATCGCGAACAAAAGCACGAGATCCCCAGACCCAGAACACCGACGCATCGCCAACCTCCCCCGTCCAACGCAGTGTGGGCGAGGTCTCCGGCAAGGAGACACGGGGCCAGAGGTTGAGCTGATGCGCAGCGTACCGGACCGCAAACGGCCACAGAAAATGGGGAGCAGCCGCATGGATCATGGAGGTACGAACGACTTCCATGACTAAGCCAATGCGGTGCTCAGCAATCCCATTTTTCTGAGGGGAGTCCGGAAGCTTGAACGACTGGAGAATGCCCTCCCCACGACAAAATTCCCGCAAGAGGGTGGAGGAGAACTCACCACCTCTGTTAGAGTGCAGACGCAAGACAGGAAGGTCTTGGCCAAAACGCTCGCGGAGCTGGAGACGAACTGTGCGGATCCAAGGGATCAAAACATCAATGACCTAACCCTTGCTGCACAAGGGGAAGACCGTGGTGTACCGCGTGTAGTCGTCAACTACCAGCAGAAAGTACCGCTCCCGGCTCTATCCACTGACGCGGGCTGGGCCCCACACGTCCATGTGGAGAGTCTGCAGGGGAGCAGTCGTCGGGGGAAACGAGGAGGAGTGAGGAGCGGCGCGCTGCCGCCCCTCAACGCAAGGAAGGCAGGGCGGGGCAGGAGAGGGCGGCAGGGGAGGCAGGGACCTGGGAAGACCAGAAACAAGAAGACAAGAGTGCATGCCACGAAGGCGTGGCAGGGAGGGGTGACCT